TTTTTACAAAGGTGTGTTTGAACTAAGAATCTGACGTATCCCTAAAGGTGTAGATCTGCTGAATATGCAAATGGTTTCATAAATTTCATTCCTTATGTCTCTTTCTGTAGTGAGTTAAACTTTAACCCTTTCCTATACCAACTGTATGTGTGTGTGTGTGTGTATGTGTATGTTAGACCAGTTTATGTGTTTATGTAGTATGTTAGACTAGTTTAAGTGTTTATGTAGTTAATAAAACCTTACTTGTATCACACTTGACGTGTTCATTGTTTGCTCATAACCGGAGTCACTAATCATGCAGATTTACGCTACAAGCTTTGTAGAATTGTACAGTAAGAAAGTTATTTCCCTTAACCAGGAAATGAACGTTCTTAGAATTGACAAGACAGCTGACCCTGAGAGGTCAGCTAAATATCTACAGCGGACCTAAAATATGAATAGTTAATTATAACTAGTTATGGTTAATTATTCATATTTCCCATGAGCTGATTCGTTACAGTAGTTTAAAAGAATAGAAAACCCTAAAAAAAAATTTCAACTTAATTAATTTATTTATGTGCAAAGCAAAAAAAAAGATATTTTGCAGAGTGTCCAAACTACTCTTTTACTTACAAGTGGTATAGACTTTTGGACAACAAAAAAGTATTGTACAAATTACAGTTACATTTTTAAATTAGAATTAAAAAAAAAAAAAAACACAAAACAAAAAAATGATCTTATTAGAGTGAACGATACTATACACCACTGGTCAAAAGTTTGGGATCAGAACGATTTTTAATGTTTTTTACAGGAGTTTCTTATGCTCATCAAGAATACAGGGGAAAAAATTATATTGTGAAATATACATATACATTAAAATCTAATTTATTTCTGTGATGCAAAGCTGAATTTTCCGCATCATTTCAGAATGATGATCCTTCAGAAATCATTCTAATATGCTGATTTATTATTATTCATTATTATCATTATTTATTCAGCAAGGATGTGTTAAATTGTTAAGAAGTGATAGCAAAGGTTTATATTGTTACAAAAGATTTATATTTTGAATAAATGCTGTTCTTTTAAACTTTTTATTCATCAAAGAATCCTGAAAAAAGTATCGCAGTTTCCATAAAAATATTTGGCAGCACAATTGTTGCCAACATTTATAATTCTAATAATAAATCAGCATTTTAGAATGATTTCTGAAGGATCATGTGACACTTTATACTGGAGTAATGGCTGATGGAAATTCAGCGTTGCACCACAGAAATAAATTATATTTTAAAGGATATTAAAATAGAAACCATTATTTTATATTGTAATAACATTTTGCAAGATTACCGTTTTTTTTCCGTATTTTTGATCAAATAAATGCAGCCTTGATGAGCAGAAGAGACTTCTTTAAAAAACATTACAAGTCTTACTGATTCCAAACTTTTGAAAAGCAGTGTAGATATGTATGCATATATTATTATTGTCAATCGATGTGGCGATTAATTAATCTAATTAATCACATATTAATTGGACATCAAATTTGGTTGAGAAATCACCCACAAAAGATAATGTCAATTCATGACTTCATGAAAGTTTAAATTAGAATTTTTAAAGTGTCTGGGTAGTATACAATTCAACTGAAGAATGTTTGTAATTATTTTATTTATGCAAAATTATATTAAAACATATTTAAAATGTAAATTCATGACTTCATGAAAGTTACATTTTTAAGTTTAAATTTCGTTTAGAGTAGTCTAAATGTAAATTAGAGACCCCAAAACTTTTTTTGGCGAAGGATACACTGGGCATCACCCTGTAAAATCCCCTCATCTGGTTGATTTGGGTGCTGCATGGCGATAGCTTGTGGAAATTCTCCCAGCATTCTTTGCTGAAAGGCTTCGAGTCTCTCGTAGTCATGCCCTCGACAGACAAACTCCTTATTCTGTGTAGAGAGAAAGAAAAATCCATAAATAAATATATACCGTATTGTCCCGAATATAAGACGATATTTTTGTCTTGGAAATACAGCTGAAAAAACGTGGTCGTCTTATATTCATGGTCTAGACTTTGACATGTCAATAATACACCCACAACAATAGGTGGCGCCAAATACGCATAAAACCAGTGTGCCATGAAATACGTAATGTAATGCGTGTTGTAAAGATCGCGAGTAAAAACAAAAGAGAAAGAAAACCTTACAGCTGCATGAGTCGTGACTGTCGCGTTAGCCTGATGGGACCAAACTCCCTTTGTGATTTTAAAACGTAAGACAGTACCCAGATTTGAAGACTACAGTAAGATTTAACTTCTACTGTTAATAAGATTTTGGTAGGCTACTATTAGATGGATAGCCTAAATGTCCTAATTCAGATGGGCTACCTGTTTTTTAGTTTTTTTTAATGGTATATCAAAAAGTGTATATTTTTTAAATGTGATTGTTGGTACATTTTACCAGTTTTTACAATACTTTCAAAACAAAAATTAAAATAGGAAAAATATGCAATATGATAATAATTGAAGACAAAATGTGTTTTACTAAGAAAAAACAAGATTTGTTTTTTAAAAAGCCTTTTTCCAAAAGGTACATCTGGAAAAAGGGGGGTCATCTTATATTCGGGCCAATACGGTACTATTTAATTTATTGTTGTTTTTTCATTATATATTTATTTTAAATGAAAAAGCAATCCCTTAATTTAATCTTTACAATTATTACAAACAAACAGAGCATGTAAATATCGCAATTGCTCACCCTGAGGAAGAACGGAAACTTCCGGCCATAAAATCCCACCCTGAAGAACTCCGGCTCTAGTCGCTGCTGCTCCATGATGTTGTCATAATATGCTGCCTCCATTTTCTGTAAAGAAAGAGGGAGCTAAATATTCACACAGTGTTGACCTCCTTCTGCGCATAATACATAACACTACATTAATAGCTGCGCGGTCCACTCAAAGTGCTGTTATATAATCTCTATTCATATACAGTATTCACATAAAAAAAAAAAAACATCAAAAAGCACTGACCCGTATCCAGCTGAGACTCTGATAATCGTACAGGGACTCGTACTGGAAGGCTAGTTCACGGCACAGCGGGATGCCGTACTCCCAACACTGGGAAGAGAACAAGAACAGGACAGCATATGCAGTTTAAAACTAGATTTGCATTTCTAGATAAGAAACTCCATCAGTTCTAGTATGGAAAGTTTTAGACAGGTTTATAGAAAGAAATGCCACATTACACTTAGTTTGCACCTTGTTTTCTGACAGGTGTGAATTAAAGGGAAAGTTCATCCAAAAAGGAGAATTCTATCATCATTTAGTCACCCCCAAGTTGTTCCAAACCTGTACAAGTTTCTTTCTTCTGTTGAACACAAAAGAAGATATTTTGTTTGATAGATAATGGTAAGTAAATAGTTGCTGGTAGCCTTTGACTTCCATAGCATGAAAAAAATACTATGGAAGTCAATGGCTTCGGTCAACTGTTTAGTTATCAACATTCTTCAAAGTATCTTCTTTTGTTTTCAACCGAAGAAAGAAACTCATAATAGGTTGAAAAATGAATTTAAAATACAGTTAAAAATGTTAAATTTGACATGAAATCGAAATTAAAAACTTTTCTAAACGCATATTACAAATGTTGCATATACATTTTGCACTGGTACATTTTTTGACATTCCACGCCCACTTCTCAACATCCAATCAAAAATCATTGCACAGAACCAAGTCCCGCTCTATATTTTTGTCCTTTTCGAAAATCTGTTATATTTGCATGTATGTAACAATACGGAAGACAAGATCTATCGCTACTTCAGTTTCATTGCAACTTTAACCCTTTCCCCACCATTGACGAGTTATCTCGTCTTTTACAGGAAAACGCTTCCCCGCCAAAGACGAGTTTTTACGGCTTTTCGTGTTTTCACTGTTATACACTCGGGGGCGCTATTACACATCTTCTGAACGAGTACAAAACCTCCCGGACATAAACACACGTGAACAGGATGGAGAAACTAGTGATCTCTTAAGTAAACAGATGCATATGAAAAATAATGCGATCATCAGCAATAGACAGCATATAAATGAAAACTGCATAATGTTAAAGAGTAAAATGTTGATCCAGGAAGTGGTATATGGGTGATTCTATAATTGGAGATACATTTGGCATTGCGGAAACTTTTCACTAACAGATTTTTTTTCAGTATCTTATTGAAAACATATTTAATTTGAATAATTCAGTGCTTGTCAAACACAAGTTACTTCCTTTTTTACTTTTAATGAAAAATCAGATGTCTTTATGATATTGTTTGTCAAATCTGTTACTGACAAATTAGCCAATGTGTAGAAATAACAATAAATCATAACAGGAAAAATCCTTCTTGTTTCAGGAAGGGATTTATTGGATTCATGCTTTGATAATCGTATATTATCCAGATGTAGCTTTTGATAAAAATGTGATTTTCTTCTTACTTTTGCTCAAAATTATGCATTATGAGACTGCTTTTTTTTTTTTTTTTAAAGGTAGAGGCTCTGATCTTTATTGTGGTGTATTGCATATTCAAATATTCATAAAGCAAAATATACTGGAGGCCATCAAATTTGAGTGAAAATCCGCTGGCGGTGGCTGGCAACTTTTAAAAAAAATGCTGAGTTAACAAGAGTTAACAAGTCAATAGGGTTTTTTTTTTTACTTTTAAATATTATAATGAAAGTCAGTGGGATCCATTGTTGCTTTTGGACCCCACTGACTTTCTTTATAAGGATTAAAAGTAAAAAAAAAACACACAAAAAAAACTCCATTGACTTGTTAAAGTTTCAATGAAATAGAAGAAACTGTAAATCTGTTTGCACTCAACATGGGCAAGTGAAATTCCAAATCCATTTGTCCTGTTGTCGGAAGTAGCACAAATGTGCAGAGTCAGGATCTAAAATTAACACTCACTAAGTAAAACTGGAGTTGGCAAGCATATGAAACGGTTACTCACATGTTGGCCAGCAACTTTTTCGTTTATTAAGTGTAATAATGCCTGAGAATGTGATATGTTTTAGCACAATTACCAAATCCAAGACTGCTTTGCAATTATAAATACTGTATGTAATCTGATGAGCTTTGTGTTTCAGAGTGAAGCGCTGTGAGCTTTTCACGTGAGCCACTCATGATAACAGTGTTTTCATTGTCCCAGGGCGGTTCGCAGTAAGATTGAAATTATCCACAAAAGTGTGAATGGAGGCTATAAGTTGTCAATTGAATTTTATAGGAATTACTCCAAATTGTTAAACTGTTGCTGAAACAAAGCAGTATCTGTAAATACCTTTCCCTTGTTGAAGTAGTGGATGACCTTACGACAGCACAAAAAAACTCCATTGACTTGTTAAAATTTCAATGAAATAGAAGAAACTGTAAATCTGTTTGCACTCAACATGGGCAAGTGAAATTCCAAATCCATTTGTCCTATTGTCGGAAGTAGCACAAATGTGCAGAGTCAGGATCTAAAATTAACACTCACTAAGTAAAACTGGTACTGGTAAATTACTCACATGTTGGCCAGTAACTTTTTCGTTTATTAAGTGTAATAATGCCTGAGAATGTGATATGTTTTAGCACAATTACCAAATCCAAGACTGCTTTGCAATTATAAATACTGTATGTAATCTGATGAGCTTTGTGTTTCAGAGTGAAGCGCTGTGAGCTTTTCACGTGAGCCACTCATGATAACAGTGTTTTCAGTGTCCCAGAGCGGTTCGCAGTAAGATTGAAATTATCCACAAAAGTGTGAATGGAGGCTGTAAGTTAGCCATTTGCTTTAAAAACATTATAGACTAATCCTGCTTTAGCAACCACTGCCGCTCACCATTTTTAAGACAATCTTTTGCTCTCTTCTAATGTATGTCTGTGGAGGATCATTGTGTTTGGACCAATTGTCAATTGAATTTTATAGGAATTACTCCAAATTGTTAAACCGTTGCTGAAACAAAGCAGTATCTGTAAATACCTTTCCCTTGTTGAAGTAGTGGATGACCTTACGACAGAGACCCTCTTTGCGATGCCATTCGCTCTGCGCAGGATAGTGCAGGAACTCCCGGAGGGGCCTTTCCTCCCAGTGGAGCAGCTCCCAGTACAGCAGGAGGGTAAACGCCGCCTCTGTGAGACACAATGGTTGATAAAGTTGAAATACTCTTTGAGTAAGGTACTTCCTTTTAGAGCTGGTAGAGCATAGTGCTAGCAACACAAAGGTCATGGGTTTGAATGCCAGGAAACATACAGTATGTAGTGATAAAATGTGTACTAAGTGTGATGTGAGGCTATAAGTTGTCAATTGAATTTTATAGGAATTACTCCAAATTGTTAAACTGTTGCTGAAACAAAGCAGTATCTGTAAATACCTTTCCCTTGTTGAAGTAGTGGATGACCTTACGACAGAGACCCTCTTTGCGATGCCATTCGCTCTGCGCAGGATAGTGCAGGAACTCCCGGAGGGGCCTTTCCTCCCAGTGGAGCAGCTCCCAGTACAGCAGGAGGGTAAACGCCGCCTCTGTGAGACACAATGGTTGATAAAGTTGAAATACTCTTTGAGTAAGGTACTTCCTTTTAGAGCTGGTAGAGCATAGTGCTAGCAACACAAAGGTCATGGGTTTGAATGCCAGGAAACATACAGTATGTAGTGAAAAAATGTGTACTTTATAGGCCTTATGTAGCTCCGCCCCTTTTCAGCACTGCAATTTTTCTTCTGTCTTCCAGTTTGTATTTCTCTACTGACATTTCTTATGACATCTGCTTCGAATATGCACATGGCAACTTTCTCTACAATAAGTCAATCCATTTCACAAGCAAATTACTTTTGACAGCAGTGCCATAGAAATATGCAGAGCTACTACGAAAATGGAAGTTCAAAGACAAAATTCTAAAGATGACTGCACACTTGTTTCTTTGACGCATAAGGTCTATATGCACTATAAGGGGCTGTTCACACAAAATTGGTTTATATTCCATTGCACTGCTTTTCCATTCGTTTTCTATGTAAATATGTGCTATAAGGATCTTTGAATGTTGCGTTTTTGTCTTTTGCAGCATCTCACTTATAAATTGGCACTTTAAAAACGTGACGCTCAAGTTGCAAGAATTTTAAAGGGATAGTTCACCCAAAATGAAAATTACCCCCTGATTTATTCACCCTCAAGCCATCCTAGGTGTAAATGACTTTCGTCTTCCAAACGAATACAATCGGAGATATATTAAAAAATCTTCTAAGATTTACAATGGCAGTGAATGGCTGTTGAGATTTTGAAGTCCAATAAAGTGCATCCATCTATCATAAAAAGTGCTCCACACTGTCACGAATCCTGTCCATGAACTTCCGTCTGCTTCCCTCCAGAGGTCTCCCTCCCATTATATTGACTCTCACACCACACAGACTGTTACACATCACCCTGGACTACATTTCCCATGCTCCACTGCACTAATCACAAGTTCACCTGAAACCAAACACACACAGCTGCTACCAATAACACACACTATATAAATCAGTCTCACACCACCGTTCAACGCAGAGTATTGTATAGCGTTTATCACTCATAGCAATAGCTACTCTACGGAGCCATTTCTAGTTCTTAGTTTCAAGTCATAGTCTTGCCCTGCCTGCTTTCCCGTGTTCAGATTCTTGCCTGTGTATTTTGTATTATCCTTTCGTCTTGCCATTCGGACTATGTTTGCACCTTGCCTGGACTATTGCTCATGTTGTCGGATTACCCCTCTTGTCAAGCCCTCTGGATATTGTTAGCCACTGATCGACCACGCCCATTTTGGATTACTACTGTCTTGCCCTCAATATACCTGTTTGCCATTGTCTGACCCATGCCTGTTATGACCACGTCTCTTAATAAAGCCTTGCATATGGATCTGCATGCCTCTCGTCTCGTCGCCTCACAGAATACTCGGCCACACAAGGATCCAGCAGCTTTTCAGAGGAACAGTGGCCAGGTATGGACACAGCACATATATTATTAACTCTTAAACAAGGTTCGCTGGAGAACTATATTCAGGAGTATCTAGCCATTGCCTATTACTCTGATTTACTGGACTGTTTGTTGATAGAGGTTTTTTGCGACGGCATTAATCAACTGCTGAGGTCTAAGCTTAGATGCGAGGGTCCACATTCATAACTCTGTCAGTTTATGGACTATGCTTTGTTGACTGTTGGCTATCTATTCACTGTGGGTGCCGCGGAGGAGGAACGCGACACCGCATCTATGACTGAAATGGTGGCTGCACCAGAGCGCACTCACAAAATGGCGGCCACAACAACCGGTCACGTCATTACTGCCATTCGTGAGCCAAGTCAAGTCATCGCTGATCATCCTGAGCCAAATCAAGTCATCACTGATCATCATGAGGCAAGTCAAGTCAATGCTGATCATTCTGAGTCAAATCACATCACAGCTGATCATCCAGAGTCCCGTAACATCACAGTTGGTCATCCAGAGTCACATCACATCGTAACTGATCATCCAGAGTCACGCCACATCACAGCTGATCATCATGAGTCAAGTCAAGTCACAGCTAATCTTCCAGTCACGTCACGTCTCAGCTGTTCGTCCAGAGTCACGTCACATCACAGCTGATCTTCCAGAGTCTTGTCACATCACAGCTCATCGTCTAGAGTCTCGTCACGTCACAGCTGATCGTCCAGAGTATCGTCACTTCCCGTTTGTTGCACTCAGATCTTCGAGGTCAGGTCTTCTGTATCCCAGACTGGCATCCAGCGTGGAGGATCCACCGCTGGTGTCAGCAGTCGCAGCTGGTATTCCCAAATCTATTCACTCTAGCCCTCCTGTTCCTATACGATTCCCCTGTCTGTAGCGCTTCCCATAATGGGGATCGCTTTATGGAGTGTTTGGGCTGCATACACCACCACTGAGACTCTTGAAACCGCGACGCCTACTATGATGTTTCTAGAGGTGGCGATGGCGCCCGCTGCAGCTTCTCCAGAGGTGGCGGTGTGTGCTGCAGAACCTCCCGAGGTGGCAGCGCTCGCTTCAGCTCCTTGTATGGTGGTGACGCCCAGCAATGCACTCTCAGCCTGTCATGTCGTGGTCGAAGGAACCGTTGATGAACGCTGTACCTGTCCTGTTAAAGAGAATATTAATGAACTATTTCCTGATGGTACTGCTGTAGAACCTCCAGAGGTGGTGGCATCCGCTGCAGAACCTCCAGAGGTGTCAGTAATATCCACCTATGAACTTCCTGTTTGTCCTGTCAAGACTGTGAATCCTCGTCCTGCCCTGTCATGGCTATGGAGGCCGTCTGTGAATCCTCGTCATGCCCTGTCACGGCTATGGAGGCCGTCTGTGAACTATCTGACTGTCCTGTCACGGCTATGGAGGCCGTCTGTGAGCTCTTTGCCTGTCCCGTCACCGCTACGGAAGCTGCTTTTGAACTTTTGTCCTACTCTGAACTGGCTGAGGAGGCCATCTCTGAACTCTCGTCCTGTTCTGAATCAGCCATGGAGGCTGATTGTGAACTGTATGTTCGTCTAAGGGCTGCTAATGAATTGTCTGTCCACTAATTTCAAATAATATGTCTGATATGCCATTTGTTTGTCCAGTTTCAGTCACTGAAATATCTACCAGTCCAGTTTCAGTTAACACCCTAACCCTAACCTAACCCATTTTTGAACTGTCTGCCCATCCAGTTTCAGTCAGTGATCCTGTTTATTTACAGTCAACCCAACCAGTCTTTGTAAATGCACCCAATCTTGAACGGTCTGCCTGTCCAGCCACTCTCAAGGAAACCAACACGGAACTTTCAGCCCTGTCTGTCATAGTCCAAGAACCCACCTCTGTACTCTTAACCCTGCCTGTCATGAGCCCAGAAACTAAGAACGCACATCATGCCCTGTTCACCTTGTCACTGCCAATCCAGTTCCTGTCCTGTCTATCAGGCTCAAGGAGACTGTTAAAGAACTATCTGCATGTCCTGTTCCGCCCCTTGAGACCGTAAATGCACTGTCTATCTCCTGTGTTTCAGTTTTCCCTAGACTCCAGTTCCTGATCACTCTGGCCCGCCGTGGTGGTCTTCTGCTTCGTCTGCTCCACCATGGTGGTCTTCTGTCTGGTTATGGTGGGCTTCTGCTCCATCTGCTCGCTGTGGTGGTCTTCTGTCTGGTTCTGGTGGTCTTCTGCTCCATCTGCTCACCGTGGTGGTCTTCTGTCTGGTTCTTGTGGTCTTCTGCTTCGCCCTGGTGGGCTTCTGCTCCGTCTGCTCTGCTGTGGAGGTCTGTGGAGGGGGGGAGCAAAGTGCTCCACTCTGTCACGAATTCTGTCCATGAACTTCCGTCTGCTTGCCACCAGAGGTCGCCCTCCCATTATATTGACTCTCACACCACACAGACTGTTACACGTCACCCTGGACTACATTTCCCATGCTCCACTGCACTAATCACAAGCTCACCTGAAACCAAACACACACAGCTGCTACCAATAACACACACTATATAAATCAGTCTCACACCACCGTTCAACGCAGAGTATTGTATAGCGTTTATCACTCATAGCAATAGCTACTCTACGGAGCCATTTCTAGTTCTTAGTTTCAAGTTATAGTCTTGCCCTGCCTGCTTTCCCATGTTCAGATTCTTGCCTGTGTATTTTGTATTATCCTTTCGTCTTGCCATTCGGACTATGCTTGCACCTTGCCTGGATGTTGCTCATGTTGTCGGATTACCCCTCTTGTCAAGCCCTCTGGATATTGTTAGCCACTGATCGACCACGCCCGTTTTGGATTACTCTTCTGTCTTGCCCTCAATATACCTGCTTGCCATTGTCTGACCCATGCCTGTTATGACCACGTCTCTTAATAAAGCCTTGCATGTGGATCCGCATGCCTCTCTTCTCGTCGCCTCCATCACACACACGACTCCGGGGGGTTAATAAACGCCGTCTGAAGCGAATCGATGTGTTTGTGTAAAAAAAAAAAAAATCTTATTTTAAACTTTAGAAACTGTAATATATAGCTTCCGCTAACTGTCATTCGTGCGTTCACGAGAGAGTGGCGTTCCAGCAGATGACGTAGGATGAATGCATAGCATAAGCTCCGGTAAGAGGTGATGAATTCGGAAGCACAGAAGAGTGAGCAAAACAAAACACTGGTCATGTCTAAGAAGTACAAAATATGGATTTGTAAGGAAAAATGTCAGAGGATTTCAATATAAGCCAAGAGGAGACAGGTTTTCCTTTGCTGTAAACAAAATTTGGTTCATGCGAGTACGACAGTTAGCGAAAGCTAGAGATTAAGGTTTATAAAGTTTTAAATATGGATATTTTTCTTACACAAATGCATCGCTTCCTTTCAGAAGGCTTTTATTAACCCCTGGAGCCAAGTGGAGTACTTTTTATGATGGATTAATGCACTTTATAGGACTTCAAAATCTCAACAGCCATTCACTGCCATTATAAAGCTGGGAAGAACCAGGACATTTTTTTTATATAACTCTGAATGTATTTATCTGAAAGAAGAAAGTCATATACACCTAGGATGGCTTGAGGGTGAGTAAATCAGGGGGTGATTTTCATTTTTTGGTGAACTATCCCCTAGAAACTAAGAACGCACATCATGCCCTGTTCACCTTGTCACTGCCAATCCAGTTCCTGTCCTGTCTATCAGGCTCAAGGAGACTGTTAAAGAACTATCTGCATGTCCTGTTCCGCCCCTTGAGACCGTAAATGCACTGTCTATCTCCTGTGTTTCAGTTTTCCCTAGACTCCAGTTCCTGATCACTCTGGCCCGCCGTGGTGGTCTTCTGCTTCGTCTGCTCCACCATGGTGGTCTTCTGTCTGGTTATGGTGGGCTTCTGCTCCATCTGCTCGCTGTGGTGGTCTTCTGTCTGGTTCTGGTGGTCTTCTGCTCCATCTGCTCACCGTGGTGGTCTTCTGTCTGGTTCTTGTGGTCTTCTGCTTCGCCCTGGTGGGCTTCTGCTCCGTCTGCTCTGCTGTGGAGGTCTTCTGCTCCGTATGCTCTGCCCTGGTGGGCTCCTGCTCCGTCTGCTCTGCCCTGGCTCCCTGCTCTGCCGGTTCCATCCTAGTTCTTTGCTCCGTCCTTGCCAGTTTCGCCTGGGTGCCCTGCTCAGCTTCAGTCCCCGGTCTCTCCACTTCCACGTGGACCTGGCCCTGGGGGGGGGTGTATTTTGTATTATCCTTTCGTCTTGCCATTCGGACTATGCTTGCACCTTGCCTGGATGTTGCTCATGTTGTCGGATTACCCCTCTTGTCAAGCCCTCTGGATATTGTTAGCCACTGATCGACCACGCCCGTTTTGGATTACTCTTCTGTCTTGCCCTCAATATACCTGCTTGCCATTGTCTGACCCATGCCTGTTATGACCACGTCTCTTAATAAAGCCTTGCATGTGGATCCGCATGCCTCTCTTCTCGTCGCCTCCATCACACACACGACTCCGGGGGGTTAATAAACGCCGTCTGAAGCGAATCGATGTGTTTGTGTAAAAAAAAAAAAAATCTTATTTTAAACTTTAGAAACTGTAATATATAGCTTCCGCTAACTGTCATTCGTGCGTTCACGAGAGAGTGGCGTTCCAGCAGATGACGTAGGATGAATGCATAGCATAAGCTCCGGTAAGAGGTGATGAATTCGGAAGCACAGAAGAGTGAGCAAAACAAAACACTGGTCATGTCTAAGAAGTACAAAATATGGATTTGTAAGGAAAAATGTCAGAGGATTTCAATATAAGCCAAGAGGAGACAGGTTTTCCTTTGCTGTAAACAAAATTTGGTTCATGCGAGTACGACAGTTAGCGAAAGCTAGAGATTAAGGTTTATAAAGTTTTAAATATGGATATTTTTCTTACACAAACGCATCGCTTCCTTTCAGAAGGCTTTTATTAACCCCTGGAGCCAAGTGGAGTACTTTTTATGATGGATTAATGCACTTTATAGGACTTCAAAATCTCAACAGCCATTCACTGCCATTATAAAGCTGGGAAGAACCAGGACATTTTTTTTATATAACTCTGAATGTATTTATCTGAAAGAAGAAAGTCATATACACCTAGGATGGCTTGAGGGTGAGTAAATCAGGGGGTGATTTTCATTTTTTGGTGAACTATCCCCTTTAACTTAAAAAACAAAACGCATCTCTCAACCTAACATTTTTTTATTTATTAATTTTATTTTATTTTTTTCATTACAATGCCCTGCGTCTTGTGCTTTTTAAATGCAAAAAAACACATTCTGTGAATAATGCCTCACCTGTGTAGTTTTCGGCCTGCAGGTGCATGTCGCACAGCTTGTGAATGTATCTGATGTACATCTCCTCCTTATTAATCTCCGACTTGTAGAAATTCTACAAAATGAGATCATATGATCATCAGGTTACTTTTGTTTAATCGCAAAAATGCCACATTGCATATATTAGGCTGACAGTGGATTGAATAAAGGGTAAGACTCACCAGCAGGTTAACAGTGCAACCGATCTTCTTGTTTTCTGTCTCATCACCTTTCATGCAATCTCTGCCGACACAAGAAACAGGAAGTCTCATTAGATATGCCCTCCGATGCCACGCCCACTGACCATATATGGGCCATATGATGGGTTTGCACACAAAAATGAGAAGAACTTCGATTTGAATCTGTCTGGTTTCTACACAGTTTACTAAGAGTTTTACATACAATTTATTGATTGCTAAATGCTGCGCAACAATAATGAGTTTTGGCTGAACATTTTACATGTCAAAAGTCAAATGGCCACTTCCTGTTTAAGTCAGCAGCCACAAAAAAAAAACAAAAAGCGAAAATATGTAAATAACAGCTAATTTAAAAAAAATGTATAAACACTATAAAACTATATAACACTTACACTTATCCGTAGACACTAGAATGAGAGTTTTACCTGTAGTCCAGCAGTCTCTCCATGAGGCGTGTGACAGATGTGACGAAAGAGACGCCCGTCTCCCTCCAGGTCTCCTGCTCGATCTTCTCCAGCAGACTAGACATAAACAACGCACACATATATAGAATTATTTAAGGGCACTTCATGGGCTCAAGGTAAAACAGGGGCTTGTAATGGAAGATCTGTTTTTAATAGCATCTGATAGGTTGAACAGGGTTAGTTTCCTCTTACCTGGGGTACGGCCCAAACAGTTGAGTTCTAATAATCCCGCAGCACAAGGTAAATCAGAGACACTCAGGTTATAACAAGAGTACTTAAACAGCTGGATGTGTAGCTGTGTGTGTCAGTAGAGAAGGTAGAGGGAGTGTGTGTGTGTGTGTGTGTGTGCACGCACTTACAGCAAACTGAAGAGTTCTCTGTAATTCTCGTCTCCTTTGCCTTCAGACACCAGACTGTCCAGTTTGTCTATCAGTTCTGCCTCGACCTGCACCGTAAACATGAACTGAATTATGTGCTTATAATGAAGTAATATTTCTTTATTGATATTATTTATGTTTTCAGAAATTAAATTGTTTTTGTCAGTCGGTGCCACCCGAATTGCCAAGAATGGATGCTGATAAAAAATCCATCAAAATTACTTTTAAACAATGTTTTATTACATAAATAAATAATTTTTTAAAAATGTACTTTGTAACAGTTTTATTACAAACATGTTACTTTTTTGTGATAAAAAAAGGATAATAATAATATCATATCATAACAAAATATTTTATTGGTTTTATTGTTGTTATTATTGAATGTAATAATAATAATAATAATATATTACATATTTTATTATATTAATTTTTTTCTTCAAAGTGACATTATTTCTCAAAAACAGCCTGAATATACAATAATTATTTCTTAATTAATTTTTTCATTAATTTTTTTTTCTTCATTATTATTATTATTATTAGCCATTTTTTCCATTATTATTTGCCATTTACTATAATTTACCATTTATAATTTATGGTTACATTTAGAGTGAAAATAAATCATAATCATACTATTTTGTTTCCCTGGAACATAACTCAGGTTAAGAGAAACAGAAAAAATAGCCAAGAAAAGACAGAAAAGCAGAAGCAGGTATAATGGACCTGTTTGAAGTTGCCGTTCTTTCTCTGTTCCCAGTCCATCATATCGTGGAAGATGGGGATCATTATGTTTCGGACTTCATTTTGCGGTACAAGCGTCACACCCAAAAATGGGCCAATCATTCCTGGTATGAAGTGGATCTTATTCTCACCTGCAGCCAAACCAAGCAAATCGTAATTATTCATTCCCTTTTTTTTTTTTAAATGGTGGCTCTTTATTGTTAAAGCCTGAATGTCTGGGTTTAAGTAACAAAGTGAGGGAGCTTTACATGACATGAATCTGAAATCTGTTATTTTTAATAATATTAATAATGAAAAACCCTGTGAGTTTCAGCAACACATTTTAGTAGTTATGGGGGAATTTCTGCAGTGCAGTACCTTCCTCTAGCTCTAGAGGTCCGTACTGTTTTTCTAGAGGAAGTGGCTGTTTGTGTTTGTGTTTCTGTGCGTGTGCAGAGAAATGCAGGAAAAAAGAATGAAACAGAGTCGAAAGACAGAGAGGGAATCAAAACGCTCACCCAAATTCTGCCACATGCTAAACAGCTCATAAGCCATCATGACCCTCATATCACCATACCTGCAAAGACAAGAAAAACACATTAAAAACTCCTCTAAACCCATGCAGGAATCTAAGACGACAAACAAACAGCATTTATTAAACACACTAGACTCAGAAGAACAGAAGAGCCACACGCTGGGCTGAAGATCACAGACGTAAAAGGAGAAGCAGAGAGATGAATCGACCCTCTCGACAAACTCACAGGGTGATCATCTATCTTGCATGCTGTGTAGAAGTCGTGCGCACATTTCTGCATCTAAGGCTTTTTTGTATTTGAGTATTTGACCAATAACTGAAGGAACATATATACTGTATATTAATCATGAGATGTAGCTAGCCAGTAAAGAAGGAATACAGAATAAGAGCTGTTGCATGTACTCCAGATGGATTTAACATGGATTAGTCCACGCTACAATACTCAAATTATTATTTGTTTCATATTTAAAGAGTATCTGGGTTAAATACAACTTAAACTCTGCTGACAGCATTTGTGACATGACATTTGTGAAAGTAATTTGGACTTTTGTCCTTTGGTAAGTAACAAAAGGAATTTACAAGGAAAGCCTGTGGAGGAAAAATATTACAATCTGCATGCATTTAGAAACAATGACAGGTTGATTTCTTCGTAACGTCTTTAGACAATACAGTGTGTGAATGAGCAGGATCAAATCTTACTTGTCAAAGACCTTCTTCCGCTTGGCTGGTGTCAGAGTCTCCAGCTGTAGACTGGGCTGGTTGATAAACAACACTGCCAGACTGAAGTACGAATTCCACACCTGACGGAAAAAGCAACACAAACGTTTAGTGATGCTACTGCAATACTCTATGTACTGCCACATTTCTTTAATAGAGATCTTGACAAAGTTTTGAAGGAGAATTAATATGATTCATGTAGCCAATAGCATTCCCTTGGATATACACAACTGATTGATTATTTGGTGGGCGTGTCTTCAAGAGTTCAAGCCCCTCCTCTTCCAGAAAGGAAGCCACGCCTCCCAATTATTTTCCATATCAATCTATTCTGAACTATTGTTTGAACACTAATGGTAAAGTCACATTTACTGGTGCTCTGCACATTTTTGTCGACGAAATCCAGTATGCCCGTGAAATTGACCACACCTTAAGGGTGTCAACAGATATTTCAATATTCATGCTGTTATGAAATGCGGATTTCAGTTTTAGCATGGCTTCACTAGTCAAACTAATCTACCTGTGATGATTAAGTACCTTAACCAGTTCAGATTGGATTCTGGATTTAAGATGCTCTACATTGACTTGAACACACCTATTGATTCTTGGGTGGGCGTGTCCTAGTCCCCTCTTCCAGAAAGGAAGCCACACCCACCAATTATTTTGCACATGAAACTATTCTGTACTATTTTCTCTGTACATTTTTGTTGACGAAATCCTGTAATTTCAAAAGGAATCCACAGAAAAGGGAACTCTGCAAAATATTTCTCAATGCAGATTTCGCAAAGGGTTCAGTTGGTCATGTGACATTGCTACGCTGACCATATCTGACCATAATGTGACCATATCTTAAGGATGTCAATTGATATTAGTTACGATATGCTGAATAAGTTTTACATGGCTTCACTGGCCCAAGCGATCTACCAGTGTCTATTAACTATCCTAACCAGTTCAGATTGGATTCCGGATTAAAGTTGCTCCACAATGGTCTACTCTTTTTTTTTTAGGGGATATCCAGTGAAAACCCACACTGGTAGACAGGGCCATGTTTTTCTCTCAAAGATAACCTTCATTAATAATTCAGTAGATTTGAACTTTTCAGAGCCAGTCTCCCTGGTTAGTGGTACCATCTGTCTTTATCAGGGAGGAGAGCTTCATTAGAGTGGATTAGAGAGAGCCAAGAGTGTCCAACAGCAGGACACCATGAAGTCCCACATGAAGCACGTTTGTGTACATGTGGAATGTGATATTCAGAAAATGGGACATGTGTGGGTTTGAAAATTATGTTTATGTTTAATGTGCGTTTCAGTGCCAGGGAGTCTGTGGTTCATCACAATCACACACCTTAAAATCAAAGTCAGCATCTGTAAAGCTTTTATGAAGAGCAGGCGACAGATACTGAGTTGTGCTCACAATGATACTGCAAGAAAGAAAAGGTATAATTAGAAAAACATAGAGTATAGTGTACAGTATAAATATGTGATGATCTTTTTTTTTCAGGATTTTTTGATGAACGGTCACATTTCTTGCATCCATGCTGGAGAAAAATATTACTTTCTTTAAAAATAATAAAGTCTTTTTGACTACAAACTTTTGACAAGTAGTGTATATTTTTGCTTGAAAAGTGCACTTATGCTCTGTAAAAATAATATCTAATGCAATGACATTCATATTGAAAGTGACTTTACTGTCATTGTCAAGTAACTTTACAAGTACTAAAAATATGATAATTCCAGAGAAAATTTTTTTTGAATAACATATATGGTATAATACAATGTTTATTCAAACCAAAACAATATGTTTTGAGCCAAAAAAAAAAAAAATCAATAAGGAAGGAAACAGGAATGAGGTAAAAAAGGGGAAAAATTGATCGATTCTCACTTGCTGGTCAGCAGTCGCATGACGTTCCAGTCACGTGGGAATATACTGAGTTTCATCAGGTTTCTGAATACACAGAATATCTTCAGCAAGAACTCCTGCAAGAGATAGGATTGTATAAGCTGGGTTAGAAGAAAGCATTTTCACATTTAACATTTAAAAACTTCACCTTCAAGCAATAATATAAATTATTTAGATGCTTGATTTCTGAAATTTATGAGACGGTTCACCTTCAGCTCCTCTTTGCTTTGGAAGTTGTCCAGTAGGTGTTGAAAATGAATGTCCGACATCTGACGCAGGAGGGACAACAAGCAGGACACATACTCCCCCTGCCAATCAGAAAGTGGGCAAGTCCTTGTGAGCCAATAAATCTGTTCATTTGGCAATCAAACAGCCAATCAAATGCATCCAAAGGGAGCGGGGAAGCAGAATGAAGGAGAGATGTAAAGACACTGTGGGATGAATTCACTAAACAGTTGTGGCACTTAGTATCAGCCTAGGACGGCATTCCACAGACCGCCTACAGTCTGTTCACTAAATTTCTGATGGATATTATGCACAAAAATGAAAAGGCTGGCTGAAATCACCAGTTCTAATCTGACTAGCTGGCTTTACACAACTTTTTTAATCAGTTGATATAATTCACTTGTCGGTCCAAGTGGGTAGTTCTTGGCCAATATAAACTCCAATGTGGACTAGACTTTATGTTGTTAGTCAAAAGTCTGGCAATGTGAGACTAGAGCGTGGTATTTCAGCACAAAACTTTATGTCTGATTCACCAACCACCCACAATCCAATTAAAGCAGGCACAATATGCGTATTTATATTAGGTCATTGTCATTCTTCGTTGGGCAACCATTCCCGTAAATTCCATGTAAATGACGCTTTTTGTAGAATGTGACAGACTCACAAATGTCAATGTTTTTGTTTTTTTTACCTGATACAATTAACATTAGTATCAGCCACAGAATATTAAAAATATTTCAGCAGTAGCTCATCAAACAATGATCAAATGATTTTAACTAGGCATGGATCCACGTGGAGGATTAATTCATGCACTTTTTCTGCATTTTAAAGATCCAGGTGCTAAAACAACTCAGACAATGTTTGCAAATTTGTAATGCTATCAAAGGGTGCAGTTTATTCTAAGTGAATTCTCCCGTCTGATTAGACCATGCTTTCTTTTAACTACATATACACAGAGACATGATATTAGTTCTGCTGGGTTTAAGTTTATAAGCTATGTATGATGAATACATCAAAAATTAAACATTAAGCAAGTAAAAGTATATCAAAGGATGCAAACCCATACATCAGAGTACAGATCAGAGCATGTTTGTGTTGTAGTAGTTTACTGTTTATCTTAGCCTTCTGAGCAGGTGTTACAACAGTCTAAATGTAAGAGACGTAAGACAAACATGCATGGGTGAGTCTCACGAAACCTGTCGTGAAAGATCAGGGTCATATTTCATGCAACTTATGAAAATAAGTAAGACATTTTGCATTTAGATTTTGCGTAAAGAAAATTATGCCAAAGAAAGTAATGGTCCTAAACAGAAGCTTCATTTTCTTTTGTCCTTAAAATTTGCATTTTATGTGCAGTTTTCGTGAAATTCACCCGCATGAAGACATACTGTATCATGTGTGAGTCAGTGAGTGAGTGAGTGTGAGAGACGTAATAAACACAGACATGAAAGAGAGACCGAGATAGAGAGAGAGAGAGAGAGAGAGAGAGAGAGAGAGAGCGAGCAACAGTGATTACTTTTCTATTTAAGTTACAGTAATTGTCAGATGTCCAAATATAAATACACCCGTTTTGTCAGTTTAACACGTTAATTTGGTATGATTAATGTTGGAGCTTGAGGCAGATCTATTTAGACAATTTTAATGTTATCATTAAATATGAATTTCTTTATGAAAGAAAATTAATGTGATTTTACTTTCAGAACCTGACTGTTATACGCTGTAGTCAGAAAAAGAAGAGTTCCAGAAAGATTCTGGGAAAGAAACAGAAGATGAAGAAAAGATCTCAGTAGGGATGCAGCCAAGCAGGTGGAGGAGAAGAGGGAAGGAGGGAAGGAAAGAAGTAGAATATCAGATTTGTTAGTTACTAACAGTGATCTCAGCCGTGCACTGTGGACAGCGCTGCCCTCTTACCGCCTCCTGAGACTGAGATTTACTCATGATGGCCAACAGCGTCTGTAACAACACATCCAACAAACTCTCCACCATCATCTCTACCTCCTCCTGTACAGAGCTCTCCTGCAGACAGGAAAAGAGAAACATTGTCTCCTTAACCAAAGTCATAAGTGGGATGTTCAAAATTTTGATGACATGCACATTGACAAAAGTGTACCAGTGAGCTGCTTTTAATAATGGAGAAAATGCTGCTCAGGATTCCCGAGCAGATCAGAAGCTCCTTCTGTTGCCGCAGATGCAGATGAATGTGATGGAGAACAACAGGAAGGAGAATTCTCCTTGATTCTGTGTAAACAGACAGAGAGAAGTTATTAACTCAATTCACCTGATTAAGATTTCAGACATTTACACTGTCATAAAACATGTGCAAAAATTATACCTTTTAGAAGTACAACAGCTTGTCACTGTGGCAGTACCCATAAAAGGGACAACTTTGTACCTTGTCTAACTATAAAAGGTGCATATTAGTACCTTAGAGTAGTAATATGTACCCTTAAGGTACTACTAGGGGTAAATAAGGCACAAAGATGTCCCTTTGAGATTACTACCCCAATGACAAGCTGTTGTACCACTAAAAGGTAAAATTTTACACATTAGAGAGTGAAACAATTCTTTAAAAAATACCTGGAAAGGAGAAAAGCCTGCTATCCACTGTCCGAGCAATGGACTGCAGCTTAACCACATCCATGGACTGACCGATGTGGACCGTACTAGGCATGCTACCCAGAGTTCCTCTCACAAACTCTGCCACTTCCTGTACTGTGAACATCTGGAGGAGCTCGTCAAAAATTGCTGGGAAAGAGTTGAGTAGGGCAGCCTGAAAATATGGGGAGAGACCAGAGAAAGAAAGGTTAACGCTTGCAATTTGGTCATCGTTTGTGTTCCCCTTCAGATTAAACAAGATATGTAGGGCCTTTTGGCCAAAGATGGGATGGACATCACCCACACAGCAAGAGATGAAGTAACAGTGAGGCTTCGTCAGCACCTCATGGTTACTTGGTAGATTAGAGATTCAGTCAATTCAAAATTTTAAGAAGATGCCAAACAAATGAGAGATCACCTCCTGGAGACCCACTATGCAACAGAGCTTAGCTCAAACGCTAAACCAACCTAAACCAACTAAGCAAGGTCTTCGGGTCACTTGACAATTACAGGCAGGTGGGTTGGAGTAGGTTGGAACTAATCTTTGCAGGTCAGTGTGTCTCTGGGAGCAGGGTTGGAGACCTCTTGGTCACAGTCATAGTCAAAAACCTTGGCCTTGGCTATTCCTTAATTCAAAGGTCCATTACATCTCTTGCTTCTGAGGACTTCCCATACCCACTTTGCTCATCAGCCCAATAATACGATCCACTGCAGGGAAGGTGATCTCTGGTCCCCGGTTCAATGCCACTGAAAATCAAAGGTGAATAATGTGGGCGTTTGGAAGGATTTGACTTTGTGCAGGATAAGATTTGGTGTCAAACACAGCAATCAAAACCAAGAAACACATCAAAGAATCCAGTGGAAGATGCACTGGAAGCATAGAGAACCATTTTTTGGTGTTGGTCAGTTTGTTTGGGTTGTTGGTTCATGTTGGGGTCTGGTGTTCTGGAAAGGTACTGAGTGGTTGTATGTGATGGTAGATGTTTTGGGCTTTGGCATTGGGTTGGGTTGTGAGGGAATCTCCATTCTATTACTGTGGAGCAATTCAACAAGCTGCATCTACTTACAGACAGCTGAGAGGGCCGTGGGGAATTACAGCTCAACGGCTGCAAGCAGTTGCCCTGGTTGGTAGTGGCTTGTCCTGTAGTTGGCTGGGTACCCTAGGGGGTACAATGAGGTTGGGCAGGATTGGGTCAAGATAAAGGGCAGGGATGGGGAAAGTCCACAAACGTACAATATGGGACAATTCAGGAAAATATTAAGTCAACAAAATCCAAAGAAGACTAAATCTTCATTAAACCATTTGTGCAAGAATTGTGGGCAGGATGGACTGTACTGTGTTCAGACATTGATTAATCAAAGTACAGTAAATTTTTCCCCCTAGGTTCCGGGTGGATCCAGAATTTAATGATGCTTTGATGGAGGCATGAATGATAAAATATGGTGGTGACAGAAGAAGCCATGTGTAAGAAAAGCTTTGTGAAAGAGTTCAAACATAACCTACTGAAGATGTACCTTGAAAATAATCAAACATAAACATGAATAGAGAAAGAAATGTCACATTTTCCTGTACAAACACTATCGATAACTAAACAAAAGTGACTTATAACGAAATACATCATTCTACAAAGCCCAACCCTTTACACAAAAACTGGTGAAAAGTAAAACATATCTAGTTATCAGATCATCATAGTAACTTGGGGGAGAGGAGAGCTAGTTTGACACAGAACCCCTCAGAAACCGCCCACAGCATCCTAGCATCATAGGGACAATTACCATTCACACCATCTTCAGACAATGTAAAAATATAGTGACTAATGATACTACAATATCTCAAGATCTTGTTTTGGTGGCTTTCTTTGTTGGTGTCTGTCGATTTTCGTCCTAAATCCCCTAGTCTTGTGTTCTTCAAATCTGACACCTACCGAACATTTCACATCTACTTCACTGAGCAAACAATCTGAAGCAAGCAGATATCTTTACTTAAACATACTCCTGCTGCCTTCAGGAAAAATCTTGTTTTGTCTGATCGCAACTCGCTCTAAGAAATTATTTCACATGATTTTTCTTGAGATGGGGCTGTCTAAACAGCTTAGATGTGCAACTTCTTTAGGGCAGAGATAGACAGATGCATCAATCTCATAGAAGACTAAACAAACCTGGGCCTCAAGGAAACAGCTTTGATCTTGGGTCAACAACTGTGGATTTGGACATCAGCAAGTTGTTACAACTCGATCCTTTCATTTTCCAACACATTAGACCACCTTTATCTTTTGTCATTTTCGCTTAGTTCCTCAATTAAACCAATGTGAAGTTTAAATTGATAAATTCATTCATATAATAGTGCGCAGTAACAAACCATTCATCCATTACTTCCCACTCCTAGTAATTTAGGCTTTTAATTTTTGACACATTTATTCTTATATATCAGATTGTTTCTTTAGGTAGTATCTCCTTACAAATGGAAATGTTCATAAAAATGAAATGTGGACAGTTCTTGAGTTTATATCTGACCTGGGTAAAAATGAGTGTCTCAGAGCTGCGGCTGTCCAGACTGAGCACGAAACGGATGGATTGGAAAAGCTCCTGGATACTGGCCCGAAATTGGTCCTCCTCCATCCCACAGGTGGCCCGGGAGTAGAGGATCCGTGACTGGATGATGAATTTAAACAGGTACTCTAGAGCCTGGAAGATTTACATTTACTATAAAATGTCTTTAAAACACTTCAAGTACAATCAATATGGACAATCCCTGTGCTTATACCTTGAAGACAAATGAAGAAAGTTCAAAATTTTAAAAAAAAATTCACATTTTATCACTTAACTCGGGTGCTAATGAAACTAAATACTTACAAAAAAAACTTTGTACTGAGCAGTTTTTGATTCAAAGCAATGAGTTTATGCTTAAATGGATGGCTTTGCACAGTTTGCATCAAAATCTCCTGTGTCTTTCATAAGCCAATTTAAAATGCTGAGATAAAAGGTTTTACTTCTAAATACGTAAGTACAATTAAAAGTGGAAACTTTTCTTACTTTCACTCAAGTATGTGTTTGGCTAGATACTTTTGAAATTTTTGACGCAGCACCCACACTTTAACTGAAGTATAATTTCTCTGTACTTTTACAGTGCTTGACATTTTAATATGAGGGTACTGTCAGAACCAAAATGAATCACCATTTAAATCAGTGATAGCAATACATCTCAACAAAAACGTCTCAGCTTACGTATGTAACCATGGTTCCCTGAGAAGGGAACGAGACACTGAGATCTCTAGAGGTCGATATGGGGAATGCCTTCAGCGTGACCGGTGTGTGAAGCATACATCTAAAAACGACAATAACATTGGCCGACGACTATCACAGTATAAAAGGGCACCGAGATAACATGTCATGCGCTTCTTCGTCCGCAACATGGCAAGGAAACTAGAGGACACAGTGTCTATGTACATACGTAACCTGAGACATTCCCTTTCAAGGGAACTTCGAACTGCGTCCTCTAGAGGTCGCTATGGGGAACGGTATACCCACGCCACCATGCTGAAGGGAGTGCATGCCAGAAAACCATGGCGAGCACTAAGTACCAACTCTACCATAGCCATAGGAGTTGCCCCAAAGGACGTATTGACGGCTGTCAGTGACATTATCCCCTTCGGCCAAGGGCCTGAGCTGCATATCTTAAAATAACTTACCTGTTAAGGGCTGGGCTAGGAAGCCCAAGCCTACGGCAGAGCTCAAGGCTTGGAATCAGAAGAAAGAGATTCCTTTAAGGGGATGTGGCCAGTGTCTAAAAAAACACACCAGACCCTGGCCTGTCACACCAGTTCTGAATAAACCTGTTCAAAGAACTGACTCAAAATATATTTTGAGCAACACCCTGCTCAGAAATGTATCAACAGAGACACATTAGTTGAGTGGAGCCCAAGGAGAGAACCGGGGCCTAAGCCAACTCAGAGAAAGGGAACGAGGCTGACAGCGCGTAACCCTTACCATGCAGGATTTTAGAAAATGTGCAGAATGCATGCACACTTACCACAATGTGGATTTTAGAAAGTGCACAGAGATTAGCGTGTGCACTTACCATAGCATGGATTTAGAAACACCATTGCTTAAGGGGTAACCAAGGCTGTATTAAGCCAGCCTAGGGACTCTAAGTGACTGTAGCACGCTCACAGAACAGATTCCGAAGCATCTGCTCACAGATGCCCAGAAGTCCTCAGACACTCAATCAGGAGATGCAGGCTCAAAGACAACCCTCTGAGGTGAGGGGATCTCACCCTACTCAGAAATGTATCAACAGAGATACATTAGTTGAGTGGAGCCCAAGGCGAGAACCGGGGAACAAAGCTGACAGTGCGTAACCCTTACCATACAGGATTTTAGAAAGTGCGCAGAGTGCTTAGCGTGCACACTTACTGAAGAAATCTGAAGAAATCTGAAGAAATAGCGCGACCCAATAACCATTCATGCATATAGAGCTTACTGCTCCTCAGAGCAGAAGCACAAAAGAGAGGTTTCCACAGAAACACAAATCCCTCAGGGAACGCAGTGTATTACAGCCCACTCCGCCGAGGAGTGATTACTGGTTCAACCATAAGGGCAGTGTGACAGTGAGGACCCACGGGCCCGACCATCTATGGAGCATTGAGCTCAGAGAACGTGCATGAAGGTTAAGGAACGATTCAAATCTCGGGAGACCCCTCAGGGTGAGAAATGAGTAGTTCGCACCTGGCCAGAGGATAGGGAGCATGTCGCGAAGCATGTACTCAGAAGAGTACTAGCCCACGAGAAGGACCCGCAGGTCCTGAGGTTGCAGTGTTATACTGGGGACCTGATGCTGGGAGGCTTCCTCAGAAGCCCAGGCTGTGTGTCCAAGCCGAAGATGAGGGCTAGCCTGGAACCAGAACCGATGAGTGAAACCATCACTGTAATCGGTCAACAGCAGGAGGTCCTGACTTAGCAGGTGGGTCAGATCTAATAGTCAGAAAACAGAACAGGTCCGAGTAGCGCTGCAGAGAAAGGCTAGCATCGAATACACAAGAACTAGCAGTAGAGTAGATCAAAATGGATCATACTCACCAACCATGACTCCTGCACATTACTCAGGCTCATGGATATAGGCTGGAGGCAAAGTCCGAAGCCTGGACCTTCGTGGAATGAAGGATTTAAAGGCAGCCGAGCGCGTCTTGGCCTCCTTAAACTTCACAACCACCGTCTCGACGGAAGTGCAGAAAAGCTCAGAAGGGGAAACCGGCTCATCAAGAAGAAAGCCCTTCTCTTTCGACCCGATAGCCACCAGACTCACCCACAGATGTCTCTCCGTAACCACCATGGCTGCCATGGATCTGCCCATGGCAGTGGTGGCCTGCTTAGTGGCACGGAGAGCAAGATCCATGGTGTGATGCAACTCAGCCAACTCATCAGGGGATGGACCCGGCCTTTATCCAGGTCATTCAACAGATCAGCCTGAAAAGCGTAAAGCACCGCCATGGTATGCAACGAAACTGCAGCCTGACCTGCTGACGCGTATGCCCTGCCATTCAAACAAGATGTATCCTGAAGGGGTTTGGATGGCAGGAGAAGATGAAGAGAAGATGTCTCCCCCATAGAGATAGCAGGCCAGCATCTCTTCAACAGGGGGCATCTTTTCATAACCATTATCACGTATAATGTGGTTATCTGAGAAGGACATGATATAAATCATCTGTCCAACAACTGCAGACAGATCCACACTATACACTTCCTACATAAACAAAAGGAAATTACTGATAGGGAGAAATTTCCCGTCAGGTCCTTTCCATGTTCTCACCGTGACCGCAACGTGCAGCATGCATTTAGATCCCGCGTGAAGCTAAACACGCTCTGCCCAACTGCTAGATTACCTCAGAAATCAAGCGAGAACGAAAACAGCTGCCGCAAATGCGTCGCTATTCACGCGAGAGGCGAACGCACTCATGCAAACGCTATCTACAAACTCGGGTAAATGGTGAAGTACTCACATCCCCCTCAGTAGTCCTGCAAATGCATCACGATGAGCACAAGCCATCTCCTTGTGAGACGAGCGTGTTCAATTCATGCTTATCCCTCACAAGAAATAAGCAATGAATGCAGAGCGCATCGGGCCCGACCATCTATGGAGCATTGAGCTCAGAGAACGTGCATGAAGGTTAAGGAACGATTCAAATCTCGGGAGACCCCTCAGGGTGAGAAATGAGTAGTTCGCACCTGGCCAGAGGATAGGGAGCATGTCGCGAAGCATGTACTCAGAAGAGTACTAGCCCACGAGAAGGACCCGCAGGTCCTGAGGTTGCAGTGTTATACTGGGGACCTGATGCTGGGAGGCTTCCTCAGAAGCCCAGGCTGTGTGTCCAAGCCGAAGATGAGGGCTAGCCTGGAACCAGAACCGATGAGTGAAACCATCACTGTAATCGGTCAACAGCAGGAGGTCCTGACTTAGCAGGTGGGTCAGATCTAATAGTCAGAAAACAGAACAGGTCCGAGTAGCGCTGCAGAGAAAGGCTAGCATCGAATACACAAGAACTAGCAGTAGAGTAGATCAAAATGGATCATACTCACCAACCATGACTCCTGCACATTACTCAGGCTCATGGATATAGGCTGGAGGCAAAGTCCGAAGCCTGGACCTTCGTGGAATGAAGGATTTAAAGGCAGCCGAGCGCGTCTTGGCCTCCTTAAACTTCACAACCACCGTCTCGACGGAAGTGCAGAAAAGCTCAGAAGGGGAAACCGGCTCATCAAGAAGAAAGCCCTTCTCTTTCGACCCGATAGCCACCAGACTCACCCACAGATGTCTCTCCGTAACCACCATGGCTGCCATGGATCTGCCCATGGCAGTGGTGGCCTGCTTAGTGGCACGGAGAGCAAGATCCATGGTGTGATGCAACTCAGCCAACTCATCAGGGGATGGACCCGGCCTTTATCCAGGTCATTCAACAGATCAGCCTGAAAAGCGTAAAGCACCGCCATGGTATGCAACGAAACTGCAGCCTGACCTGCTGACGCGTATGCCCTGCCATTCAAACAAGATGTATCCTGAAGGGGTTTGGATGGCAGGAGAAGATGAAGAGAAGATGTCTCCCCCATAGAGATAGCAGGCCAGCATCTCTTCAACAGGGGGCATCTTTTCATAACCATTATCACGTATAATGTGGTTATCTGAGAAGGACATGATATAAATCATCTGTCCAACAACTGCAGACAGATCCACACTATACACTTCCTACATAAACAAAAGGAAATTACTGATAGGGAGAAATTTCCCGTCAGGTCCTTTCCATGTTCTCACCGTGACCGCAACGTGCAGCATGCATTTAGATCCCGCGTGAAGCTAAACACGCTCTGCCCAACTGCTAGATTACCTCAGAAATCAAGCGAGAACGAAAACAGCTGCCGCAAATGCGTCGCTATTCACGCGAGAGGCGAACGCACTCATGCAAACGCTATCTACAAACTCGGGTAAATGGTGAAGTACTCACATCCCCCTCAGTAGTCCTGCAAATGCATCACGATGAGCACAAGCCATCTCCTTGTGAGACGAGCGTGTTCAATTCATGCTTATCCCTCACAAGAAATAAGCAATGAATGCAGAGCGCATTCAACTCCCTCGAGAGCTGAATGCGCTTGCTCTTCACCACACACACACAGCACGCAAGCCGTGTGAAACTGCAGGTATCAGAGCAAAGCCTCTGGTGAGAGAACATGCACTCCTAGTCGTGTTTAGCTTAACGCTAACATAAACAAATGGTCAGTGAAGACGAAGAAGAGGATGTGTTATCCCAGCGCCCTTTTATACTGTGATAGCGTAGGGTAATGATGTCATAGGCTGTCGCCGGCCAATTTTATTGTAGTTTTTAGATGTATACTTCAGACACCGGTGACGCTGAAGGCGTTCCCCATAGCAACCTCTAGAGGACACAGTTCGAAGTTCCCTCGAAAGGGAACCATACAGTGAGTGAATAAGAAATCTCAGAAACATTTCCTTGAGCAAGTTATTTGTAAAGGTCTTTTGAGGACTGCACTGAAACTTCTTAGGTAAATGTACTATTTGTTCTAGTTTCTGTTAAAGCTGAATCACTGTTTATTGGACAGTGGCTGCCATATGATTTCAAGTGAATTTTTTCTCTTGACTTCTGTTTGTGTGGTTATACAGCAGACTTGGCTGCTGAATCTTACCCTCATGGCTTCCTGGATGTGGTCCTGTCTAACAACTTCTGCTGATCGGTCCATATACCACTTCAGACAGCGAATCAACTCTCTGAATTTGAAATTGAACATCTAGTTATACCATATTCAGATTTTATATATATATATATATATATATATATATATATTTATGTATGTGTATATCTTCATTTTCATTTATTCTTTACTAAGATTAGTTTGCTTGCTCAAACTACACATTGAAAAAATGGGGTAAAAAAAAAATTCATTCAAAAATTGCTAGTAAATTTCATAATTACAAAGATTAATTACAAAGAAAGTAACATACTACGACTGAAATTGCATTTTCTTGTAAAAGGTACTCTAGTAATCTTTGGTTTATTTACAACTTAAAAAAATCATATCTTGCTTTATCTTGACAAAAATATCCTGTGAAAATACATGGACTTACTTATAAGCCAGTGCTCCAGCAAAATGCTTCTGGATATAGGTATCCATCACAGGCCGGAAGTGATAAAACTTACTGTCCCGGAGCAGATTGATGATGAACACCTGGACAGAGATGGAAAGCAGAGGTCAAGAGGTTCCTGATCAACTCTGACTGATGTTGAAAATATCAGTATGCATCAGTGTTACAATTAATTTGAACTTTTAAAATGTATTAAATCATTTATTTATTTTAAAATATATCTATTTTTTTCACTTTTAGTTATTTTGGTACATCGAGTTAAAGGAATAGTTCACCCAAAAATAAAAATCTGCAGAAATTAAGATGTAGATGAGTTTGCTTGTTTATAAGAACAGATTTGTAGAAATGTAGCATTACATCACTCGCTCACCAATGGATCCTCTTATTGCAAAATGAATATCAGTGCAAGAAGAATGCATCAGCGTAGGCTCTCTATTCTCTACACAGAAACATGACAGATGTATTCAGGCCAAGAGAGGCTAGAATATCTTGACATTTTTCACAGGAGTACGAGAAGCTAAAGGCTCTCTGGAGACGCCACTATCAACCAGCTGTGAATGCCTAATAATGTCTGGATCCACGCCAGCTGATATCTTCCATTTTTCAGAACAGACACACACACACAGCATGGGCACTCATGAAAGAGATGAATCGAGTGCATTAAAGGGTGTTCACACACGCAAACACACAGTACATGTGGGTCTGAGTCTTTTGATGAATAACGGACACGTTATTACAGCGGTGAATTATTAATGTTAGTTAAGCTATGGCGTAGTCCTAGAAATGCCATTTGTTCAAGTTTCTAACCAGTGACTGAAACACCAGGGGTCCATATTTGTCTGTGTTGTCATCCAGAATGGAGAACAGTGTGTCAAGGATGTCTTGAAGAAACTGGAGAGGAAAACAGAAAATGAATGTAAATTACATTAAGCGGACATTAAAATCTCTTATTTTAAAAGACAAAAAAAACAAGCCAGAGCTCTCACTTTGACTATTTCTTCCCCACAGACGTGCCGCAATCGCCCTAAAATGTCCATTACACGGTCTGGATGTGCTTTCCACTTCAACAAAGCTAGCAGATCGACTTCACAACACAAACACAACAAGAAAGTGACATTATACTCTGAGAAGTAGATGCAACAACTGATGAATGAAGGAAAAATTGTCAGTAAGTGTTAGTAAATTACCATTCTGAGTCAGTTTGGTGGAAGAGAGCTGAGTGGCTATCCAGAGGGTTTCCTTAGTGCTGCGCTGGAAGATGAGGCTGGACGGGATGTTCGGGCAGCCGTTGAAGTCGTCTTTACAGCAGGGCAGCCCCAGGTACAGCGCGTGGTTACTGAAGGTGGTGTTTTCATCACACTGATCCACATGCACAAGAGAGTTTAACAGGGTTATTATCCTTAACTAAAACTGAAAACATAAAAAATGCAACTTGAAAATAAATGAAATAAACTGAAATAAAATATTGTAAGTATATAAAAAAAAATATGACAGCTAGTTGTTCGTTTCTCATATTCATTTAGTTTAACTTGAGGTAATAAACTAACTAAAACTAAAGCTGAAATAAAATTATTTTTCTTATTGACAAATATAGACATTAAAAACGGTAATAAAAATCACAAAAACACTACTAAATTACAAAAAAAATACTAAAATGAAAATGAAATATTAAATGTAAAAATAAAAACAAATTGAATATATCTCTCTATATATATATACACATCTATATCTATATCTATCTATCTATCTATCTGTCTGTCTGTCTGTCTGTCTGTCTGTCTATCTATCTATCATCTATCTATCTATCTATCTATCTGTCTGTCTATCTATCTATCATCTATCTATCTATCTATCTATCTATCTATCTATCTATCTATCTATCTATCTATGTCTATCTGTCTATCTATCTATCTATCTATCTATCTATCTATCTATCTATCTATCTATCTATCTATCTATCT